CCAGATTTGATTCCCAGCACCCACATGGAGACTCACAAGTCTTTACTTCCAGTTCTAGGGAATCTGACACCCTCTTCTGGACTCTATGGGCACTGTATACATGTACAAACATGCAGGAAAACGCCCTCATATACATAAAATAATAAATTTTTAAAATCATAACTTTTTTTTTGAGACTGGGTTTCTCTGTGTAACAGCTCTGGCTGCACCAGAACTCATTTTGTAGACCAGGCTGGCCTGTCTCCCGAGAGCTGGGAGTAAAGGAGTATGCCACCGTACCCAGATAAAATCATAATTATAATTATAATGAACAGCCAGGTACAGTAGCACATGCCTCTAATTCTAGCATTCGAGAGGCAGAGGCAGGCAGATCTCTGTGAATTCAAGGTCAGTCTGGCTTACAAAGTGAGTCCCAGGTCAGCCAAGGGTACATAGCAAGACCCTGTCTCAAAATAAAGAGAGATAAGTTAAAAATTGAAGCAAACAAAAAAAAATGGCATATTCTTTTCTTTTTTGAAATATTTACCTATTGCCTTTATTTGCATGCATCGGAATTTTGCCTTTTTGTATGGGAATGTACCACGTGCAAGCGGCAGCTACCACATGGGTACTGGGAAGAGCAATGCATGCTTTTAAGTGCCTGCCGCCATCTCTCCTGCCTCTGCAGTTTCTGTTTTAGTAAGGTAGCTTCTAAGAAACTCCCAAGGGATGCTGACTCTGCTTGTCCTGGGGTCACCACAGCTTCCTGGCCTGGGCTGAGAAGCTCCGATTCTCCTACCTGTCCTACCAGCCAGCTGTGCAGCCCTAAGTGCCCTAAAAAGCGTCTCTGATTCTTTCTTCTGGATATTAGTTAGGTCAGCAGGAAAATGCAGGCAGTTTCCTGCATGCCATCTGTCCTGGGTGTCCACTAGATAACGGCAGGGAAAACCACAGGCTAAGCCCAGGATAGCTACCAGGCTGGGGACTTAGAGGTTCAGCTGTAACATTTAAAGACCTTTTGGATCCTAAAATTCCATGACTTACTGTCAGAAATAGAATAGTTTGTTTTTTTTAATTAAATTATTTTTATGTGTGTGGTGTTTTGCCTGTATGTATGTCTATGCATCACGTGGCATGCCAAGGAGGCCCAAGGAGGCCCAAGGAGGGTGTTGGATCACCTGAAACTGGAGTTACAGCCAAATGTGAGCCACTGTGTGGGTGATGGGAATTGAACCAGGTCTTCTGGAAGTGCTGTCAGTGGTCTTAAATGCTGAACCATCTCTCCAGCCCCTAGAACAGGACCTTAGGACAGGGATTTGTAGGCTCCCTACAGATCTGGATAGGAGGAAATAGTAAATTTGGAAGGAACCCCAGATCAATGTTGCCATTTTACTGACAGGGGAACCCATACCGGAAGCAAAAAGTCTTGACTTCAGATCAACCAAATAGTTTTCCAGTTGTGCTCGCAAAGGCTGTGTCAGGTCTCAAACCCACAAACCACTGAGATGCCTATTGACACATCAAAGCAGGCCTGGCTACCAGATTCTCCCAGCATCCCTCAATTCCTACCTGTTACAGGATACTCCTGGCTGGCACACCCACCCCCTACCCTAAACTTCTCCGGCCCAGAGACTGGGGCTGCACCTGCCCTTCTCCGAATTACTCTGCTCTATATAATTCAGCCATTTTGGCTATGTGACACTTTTCTGGCCTTTTTACCTCTTGGTCACTGCCTCTTGGTCATGGCTCCTCTCTTGACCTCCCTGCCCCTCTGTCCTCTCCTGGTCGGATTCAGTCTGCAGGCCATGTTCAGCCTGGGCTCTTCCCACTGCCTGTTTTCTCTTTACATCTCCAATAAAAAGTCTCCATGCTTTAGGGGTGGCCCCGACCTCCTCCTAGTTCACGTTTTCATTCATCTACTGGCTTTCCAGTTATGCTTGCAAAGGTAGTACAGCTCGAAGGGCATGAAATTCCTGGGCAGCTCAGTGGGTTAAAGCACTTGCCTTCAGGCCTGAAGACCTAAGGTCTGTCCCTGGCAGACACAACTCCTGCATCCTGTAAGTTGTTCCCTGACCTCCACAGGAACCCACGGGCATGCCCTCTCCCCCTCCCCCCAAAAAAAAAGAAAGAAAAGAAAGAAAATGTAAGTCAGGCCTAGTGGCTGTGCCTTTAATCACAGCACTCAGGATGCAGAGGCACAAGTTCTAGCACAGCCAGGGATGCACAGAGAAACCTTGTCTCAAAAATTAAATTAAATTTAAAAAAAGGAGAGAAACAAACAAAACATCAAAAGTAAGAAAAAAAAGAATATTTTAGTATATTAACTCTAGATAGGCAAGATGTTATTTCAATGTGGAATCAATGTTTGTTTGGTTTTTGGTTTTTTGAGACAGGGTTTCTCTTTGGCTTTGGAGGCTGTCCTGGAACTTGCTCTTGTAGACCAGGCTGGTCTTGAATGCAGAGATCTGCCTGCCTCTGCCTCCCCGTGCTGGGACTAAAGGTACCAATACCTGGCTGCTTCAGTTTACTTTTGAGATAGACTCTGGGTGTATATATATTAGGGTGATCTGAGATTCACTGTGTAGCCCAGGCTGGCCTTCAACTCTTAGCAATCCTCCTGTCTTACTTGGCAGAGTGTTAGGATTATAGGTGTGTCCTGCCCTACCAAGCTTATCCTTTACTTCTGGACATGCCTAGGATTGAACCTAGAGCCTCTCACATGCCAGGCAAGTGTTCTGCTGAGCCCTATCCCCAGCTCTATTTGCTTTTTATATGAGGTCTCTCTATGTTGCCCTAGCTAGTTTCAAACTTTTGATCCCCTTTGCCTCAGTTTCCCAAGTAACTGGGACTACATAGCTACGTACTATCATGCCCATATTAATTTAATAAAACTGTTCATGACGCCTGTCGTGGGGTTGTTGTTTTGTTTGCTGAGTCTTCAAGTGTAATGTGAGCTGGGTATGGTGGTACAAACCCATGATACAGCATTCTGGAGGTGAGGCAATAGGATACCAGTTCAAGGTCAGGCTGGGCTACAAGGTGAAACCCTGCTTCAAGAACAAAGGAAAAAACAAAAACCCCAAACGAAACAAACCCAGTGTGTTGCTATAATTGCAGCATGGACCTGCCATATTCAAGGGTCCAGTAGCTTCTAGCTTCCTGGTTCAACAGTACAGGCAGATTGTGTATCATCCTATTGTGGTCCAATTGGACCTATCCAGACCATCAGATTTCATCTCTGTCTGGAGCTGGGGGTGTGGGTCAGTGGGTAGCGTTTGCCTAGCACGTATGAAGCCCGATTCAAGTCCCAGCACCACACAAACAGACTATGATGGTCCATGTCTGTAATCTCAACACTCCAGAGGTGAGGCAGGTAAATCAAAAGTTGAAGGGCATCATTGATTACATTGTGAGTTCAAGACTGACCTGGAACACTTGCAACCCAGTCTAAAAACAGTGGGTGGCTTGGTTTTTATATGAGTGCGACTTGAGACTTGACTAGCCTGGGAGCTCCCTGAGGTGGAGCTGGATGGAATCACACCTCTGGGAGGGGCTCTGGCTGTAGCTGAGTTCAACCTTATTGAGGAGCAGCAGCAGAAAAGGCTAACAGCAAGATCATCCATATTTCCAAGTACAAACAGGCCAGTCCCCTGTGCCCAGACAGAAGGGCCTAGAAGTCTCAGTCCCTGCTCTCCCTTCCCTTCAGCCCCTGCTCTAAACCTTTCTTCTCTCCATGAGCTAAAATGAAGTAAAATTCCCAAGCTTGAGTAGGGTTTGGAGGGAGCACTCCCGGCTTGCCCTGTAGGTGCACCTCACTGTCACACTCCTTACATAAGCTGAGCAGCGGCCGGCCGATATGCCTCGCTGATGAGTGTGTGCGTTTGCACCCCCATCTCAGCAAGGGGTCTCACTTGGGCTTTCTTTCCCTGGGTCTGAAATAGTGTAAAACCAAGGCATGTATGTAGTGGCAGAAAACACCTTTATCACCCGCCGAGAAGGGCCAGTTGGTGGGTGTTATCCCCCAGAGTGCTCCTCTCCAGCACAGCCTCAGGAAAAACCAGTTTTGGAAGCGCCACACCTTGGGTCAGATGATGCAACGTGATATTAGCGTTGGGTTGCATCAGCGGTTCTGACGCATGTGCCTTTTACGCCGGCAGAAAGCAGTATAATGGGGCAGGAGAAAGAAAGAGACGTTCGCTGCTTGAAAGCCTTTTAAAGGCGCCCTCAGCGTTTCTAATTGGCCACACAGGGTGTTGTCGGGAAGATAAACGCCCAACCAGCCACCTCCCCCGGACAAGCTCCAGCATGCCGTTTCCTGAAACCCGGACCTGACGGCACACTTAAGGCAGAATTCTTTTCTGGTTGGTTCTAATGTTTTATATCAAAGCCTCAAGGTTTAATCTCCTCAATCTTTTCGAATGCTTAGCCTATTAAGAGGCTTTCAAACGGTGCTCTTGACCGGAATATCTCCGAAATGCACCAGTTGAGGCTCATTTTCGGAGTTGTTTTACATAAGTGCATCCAGCTCTCAGGACACACAGACTTGTGACTGTATCAAACAATTTAGATTTGGTTCGCTCGGAGTCTGTTTGCCTTCAGATATGTGTATGTCGTCCACTCCCCCCCCCCACTTGCTTCTCGATATAATAAAGAATGAACCCCAAAGACCCTAGAACTCTCTAGTCAACCAAGGAAGTTGCCGAAAAGAAACTTGCAACTCTCTCGTAACTCAGGCACTTGAGAGGTGGAGGAAGGAGCAAATGCAATGCCAGCCTGGGCTACATGGTGAGTTTCAGGCTAGCCTGGGCTACGTTGAGACAAAACAAAACCCCAAAGAGAAAGAAAAAAGAAACAGCTGGTAGAGGAGAAAGTGATACTGCGATGCAAGCCTTCCCCTAGTACCAGCCAAGTCGATCTTTCTCCAATGGGCAATCCTGCACATTGCCAGCCCGGTTCTGTGAACTGGCCCCGGTCGACTCCCCACTCCTCAGCCTTGACACTTTAATCTCACCCCAGCACCTCTGGCCACTTCCCTTCCGGGTTCCCTGCACTACTCCATGGTGCTGGGAAAATGCTTTCTACCCCTTTTGTGGCAGGTCGGATTCTTTAAATTGCTCAACTCAGCTTGTCCAGGAAACGCCTTCCTTGATCCTGGAATGGGGTAAGTACCACACTTTCGGTTATTTCTCTATCTTTCTCCTTACTCTACCTTCGAACTGGGCAGAGACCTTGTTCTCTACGTCAGTATTTTCAGCATCTAGCACCCTTGCATCTTGTTTTGCTTGTACGGGGGCGCAGTAAAAATGCTTAAAAAAAAAAAAAAAGAAGAAGAAAAACTTCCCATCACAAGTAGTTTCAAGTCCACTTATTCCACCCCCCCCCCGGGATAATTACTAAGTTCTTAGTATATCAAACCTTTATGTAACTTGAACGCGCAACAGCACCCGGTTGCATCTTAGGGCCACATCCACAGTGAATAAACTCTATCCTCTGTCTAAATAGGAGAGTTATTCAAATTGTATTCATCTTTCATTCCAATCACTCAATTAGGGCACGTCCCCGGTTGGCTGCTGCGTGAGCAAAGCAACTATTTTCCAGCGACTGTCCTCAGGTGACCTGTCTAGACGCTCAGAGGAAAAAACAAGAGAATCTGACACTCTCTGGAGCCCCAAAGACGCCGGTGACGCGCAGGCCGCGCTGCGTGAAAGGGCGTGCGGAGCGCACAGCGGCAGGCCCAGCGGGGCTTGCGGCGTGGCGCCGGGTGCCCGGGACGCAGGCTCGGGTGGGTGGCCGGGCCGCGGGGTCCTCCGGCCGATAGGGGGCGCGCGCGCCCGGAGCCCCTCGCCGCCCGCCGCGCGCGCGCTCGCTTGCCGCCCGGCCGCACATGTGTTTCTGTTTTGTGTTGTAGCATTTGTTCTGGAAGCTCGTATTTACATTTTAAGTGTATCTGGTGAGTGGGCTGGAGCCCTCGTCCGGGCCGGGGACAGAAGAAGCCGTCGACCCGTCTTTCAATCGCTCCCCTTCCCCTTTTCTCATCACTCCAACCAGGTAGGGGCTGAAAACCAACAGGGACCAGTTTGCAGGGTCTGGGAAAGTTTTTTTTTTCCTCTTTTTTTTTTTTTCTCCTCTTTCTCCCCCCACCCCACGAGAAAGGTTAGGAAAAAAAAAACACAACGCTGGGGAAGGGGGGGTTGGGGGACGGAATGAATAAGAAGGGGAAGGCGGATCCACGTGGTTTAATCGGAGACAGACAGAGATCCCATTGTTCAAAATCAATAAAAAAAAAAAAAAAGCAGACGGGGCGAGTGCGGGGCAGCGGGGGCCGGGCGGGGGGGCCACCAAAGTTCCTCTTTCCGCGCGTGCTCGCAGGTGCCCGGGGCCGGGCCGGGCTGAGGGGGGTCCCCGCGTGGCGCGCGGCGTGGGGAGGGGCGAGGGAGCAGCAGGTGGGGCGGCCCACGCCGCGCCGCGCTCCCCTCCCCCGCCCCGCCGCCCGCCCGTGCATTGTGCGCCCGTGTCTCCTCCGCAGCCCGCGACCATGCCCAGGAAGAAGGGGGCGGCCTGGGAGGAGCCGAGTTCGGGCAACGGCACGGCGCGCGCGGGGCCTCGGAGGCGCGGCGGCCCCGCGGGCAGGAAGCGCGAGCGGCCCGAGCGCTGCAGCAGTAGCAGCGGCGGCGGCAGCAGCGGCGACGAGGACGGCCCGGAGCTGGACGGGGCCCCCGGCGGCGGCAAGCGCGCGGCCAGGCCGGCGGCGGCGGGCAAGGCGGGCGGCACGGCCGCGATTATCACGGAACCCGAGCACACGAAGGAGCGCGTCGTGAGTGGGGCGGGGGCGCGGGCGGTTGGCGGTTGGGGGGGGAGGGGCGCCGCCGCGGGGTCACGCCCCGCCCCTCCCCCACGCCGCGCGGGGGACTCGGAGGAGCTGGTCCCGGGCCGGGGGGACCGGGCGTGCGTGGCCACGCGGGGGCTGTCGCTGTCCCCCGGGTGCGCCCCCCCTCTGCCCCCCCGCGTCTCCTCCTCCGGGGGAGGGCAACCCTCCGGGAGCTGCCGGCTCGCGCCGGGGCTTTGAGGTTCCCGCCGCTGCGGCTCGGGCGCCCCGGGGGGGCGGGGCCTGGCGCGCTGCGCGCATGCTCCTTGTGTAGCCTGCGCGGTCGGCCGGCCGGTGCGCGCGGGGCATGGTGGGGGCCCGCGCGGGTGTGAGCGCGCATGCTCGTCGGAGGCCCTCCCCGCCCGGGGGCTCTCCTCCTCCCACCCGCGACCCCCCGCAGAGCGGCGCTGGGCTTTGTTTGCCTGGGGTGGCCGCGGCGTGGGGCCGGTTTGTGGGGGGGGGTGGATCCGGTCCTCCTGTACGCTCTGGTCTCGGCCATCCAACTTGAACTTGCGGGAAAAGCCCCCTCAGAGCCGGTGGGAGCCCGGCCCAGGGTCCGCAGCATCCTTACTAGAACTTTGTGGAAGTTTTCTTTGGTACATCTCTCCCCTCTGCCGAGGCAGGAGACCACATGCCACCCTTGTTTCTAAGGATGCTCTGGAGAGGTGACAAGGGTAAAGGGACCTGGGCGCCTCACAGTCCAGACACACTAGAAAGCCCTTCACCATCTTGCAGGTCATGCCCGTGATCATATTTCACAAACAGCCCTGAAAACTCTGCTGGGCATGCAGGGGAACCCTGAGTGAGGTAGGCTTCCCAGATAGGCTGATGGTCTCCGCCAGCGTGTTAAAAGAGGAACTCACCAATTGCCCTCCTACTCTCCGCTCTGAGGGTTAGGACGATGCTAAGAAGTTAGACATGATGGAGTCCTAGCTCTGTTGAGCCGGGTTTTCTGAGTTTGGGAAAGCCACATGGAATTGGATAATCTGTATCTGAGCTAGCAACTGTACTGCTCTTGTCCACTGCAAGAACAGTGAGTTCTGTAGTCCGGAAAGACATTCTTAACCCACCGAGGGATTCACGTGGAGTGGAAGAAAGAAGTGTAGGAGAGAGTCGGAGGCCTGCCTCTGCCTCCACTAACCCTGTATTGGAATTGGCACCTTGTGTCCAAACGGGAGATGTCATCTCTGAGTGAAGCAGGCCCCTGCAGTTGTGTTTTATGTGTACAGTTCACTTCCCTTCTGTGTAGAAACAGGAACTTAAAAGCTGTGTCTGTCACCTTAAAGTTAGGGGCTTACCATTGTAGGAACCCCTCTCTGGTCAGTACAGGGCCATAGGGTAGGTGAAGCCAGGGGCCTGTGGGGAATCAGAAGTGATACACTTGCACCTGGAGAATGTGCCTTGAGTTTCTGTTTTCCTTAGGGTTGGTGAGTTTGGCTTAAGAACAAGAGCACACACAGCATTGCATTCATTCCCACAGGCCTAGGCCAGCAGGCCATTCAATGTCCCCAGCCCAAGGGCCATCATGGTCTCTCTCATCTAGGCAGGTTATAGGCTGTTTGCTGTAGTAGGCTACCTATCTCTTGATTTTTTTTTCAGAAGTTACTTCACAGAGCAGACACAAGCCTAGGCTGCCTTCTCTTATCTTGAATTTGCAGTGGTGTTGGGCTTGGGGGAGATAAGCCACTTGCTCACATGTCAGGTGTTCTAGGAAAGACAGAACAGCCAATTTGTAGGTCAGTTGAGGATCCAGGCTCACAAGTAGTTGTGAAGGATGGCTATTGTGTTTTCAAGGCAGAGCCTGATTGATCCATCATTCCTAGGGTCTTTCCTGTGTCCTCAGAAACCAGTGAATAGTGCAGGTGTCCAGCTCTGTGTGAGTTTTGTTTGTTTTGTTTTTTGAGGCAGGGTTTCTCTATGTAGTAGCTTTGGCTGTCTCGATCTATAGAACCCTGGGATCCACCTGCCTCTGCTTCCCAAGTGCTGGGATTAAAGGCATGTGCCACCACCACCTGACTTATGGGCCCTGAGACATGTTGTCCACTCTTAGTGAACATAATTGAATGATGGCCAAGCCTGCAGTGGGAGGGAGGGCTGATAGCCCTCAGGGACTGTTGTTGCCAGCATCTTGCTCCGTGGTCCTCTTCATCCCAGTGCATCAGTCTCCAAAATGGACATGTGAAAAGGTTGACTCTCAGCCTTGCAAAGTGTACTTGGGTGATAATTCAGAAACTGCTGTGGCCAGGAACTCCACATTTTGTTGATTGAAGATACTCATGCATTTTCTGCCTTGACTAACTCATCTGAGCCCAGGCTGTATTTGTAACCACTCATGGGGAAGTAGGTAGCTAGGTGAAATGGAGTTCACCCATCCTGGACTGATGGGCTTTGTCTTTGTGCAGGCCTTTAGACACAGTGCAGACACATTGTAGTCTGGGTTAGTCTTCAGAGAACAGGGAAACCACTTTCTTGTTCTTTTTCCTTCCTTCCTGTTTCTTCCTCCCTCCCCCTCCTCCCTTCCCTCTCTCCCTCCTTTTGATGTTTGGGTAGGACTGAACCCAGGGCTAAGCACATGCTCTTTCACTGGGCCCTCAAGCCTTCTCATATCCATTTGCTCACTGGGATCCCCTGGGTAGGGCCAGCAGGCTTATGGGATAGGTTGTTGCAGTTCTGTGGCTGAGGTTTTTTTTGATGGGGGCTTTGATTGAAAGGGCATTGTGAATAGCGCTGATTAAAATTTTTATTCCATAAGGAGGAGGGGAGTCAAACTGTAGGGAGATGAACTGTTGGGTTACTAGTAAACAGTTTGGAGGATGCAGTGGATGCAGTCCCTCATCCTCAGTGAGAACACAAGGATCCATGGTGTGAAACGGGCCAGGCTAGGAGGTCGTGTTTTTCATGGGCAGCCAAGCATGGTTGCCTACAGACAGCTTTTTCAGAAGGGCAGGGATTTCATTTCATATACATGCTAGCTGGCTTGAAATGCTTCAGGAGCCCTCGGGATGGCAGTCGATACTGGCCACCTGCCCTTGGTCTTTAGAGCTCAGGGCTCCGGGTGGCTACAACACCCATGAGACTTAGCTGAGTGTCTCTCAGTGAGTGCTGAGCTTGGGAGCCCTTGAACTTCTCCATGTCAGAAGTAGAATGCGGTCTGGCCTGGAGTCAGTGCTGGTTCTGAGGCCTCTCCCCTCTATTTCTGGGGCTCCTTCAAAGTCCTGACCTGAAGAATGGTAGAGCATCCACTAGTGATAGTCATAAAGAGGGCCCAGTGCTGTGTGGGCAAAGCTTGTAGGCTATGCCAGCCACACCTGCCTTTAACAAAGGAGAAAGGGAACGTAGGCCCCCGTCTACCGTCAGGTAACTTGAGTCTGACTTTGGAAGGCTGCTCCCGCACTCCACACTCGTGAATAATTGAGAAGGGAGGCTACTCCATCCCTGTGAGGCCTGGCCCTGAGGAGCCAGTCTCAAAGCTCTATCCCTGCCATCTGCCTCCTGGATCTGACTGGAGGTAGGGGTTGCATAATAATGGGGAAACCTGAGAGGTCAGATTCCCCCCAAAATAAAATGTGGAGTGTGTTGTCCAGGACAGCTCCAAGCACTGTGGGCTTGGAGGTATTGGAGCTGCAGCTGCTGCTCAGTTTTGGTTTGCTCCGGGCTTCCACAAAGAGCTCAAAAGGGGCCTCTTAGGGGTGGAGGTGGAGGGGTAGGTACATAGATTGAGCCTAAAAACCAACTTTATTTAATTGCTTTTTATGCTAATTTTTATTTCTCTCTGTGTGTGTACCTGCTTTACATCCTATATGAACAGAGGTCAGAGGGTGCCAGATCCCCTGGGACTGATATTAGAGAAATGTGAGCTACTCACTACCTGACCGGGAACTAGGAACTGAACCCGGGTCTCCTGCAGGAGCAGTAAACACTGAACCACTGGGTTATTTTCTTTCTCTAGCCCTACAGAGTGCATCTGGAAACTGGGTGTGATCCCAGCATTTGGAGGGCTGATACAGAGAATTGTAAAAAATGGAGGTCAGCCTGGGCCACATAGTGAGGCTTTGTCTCAATCAAACAAAGCAAAAAAGTGCATTTTGGTCAAAAAACCATACATTTTATTTATTCATGTGTATGTGAGATATGTGTGTGAGTATAGGCATGCAGAGGCCATGGATCCTGAGGATTTGAACTCAGGTCATCAGGCTTCGCACTATTGAGTCCTTTTCCCTCACTGAGCCAGTACAACAGCCCACAAGTAATTTTGAAAGGACAGAATGAATAATAATGTATTTTGACATTTAAGACAGTAAAGAGTGCTGATAATTTTTATGGGTGCAGCCCGTGATTGTGTAGTGGCCTTTTAAAATGCTAGCTCTGTGTGTGTTGGGGGCTCAGTAGTCCTGGTGGCTGGTGGATTGTGTTTAAGATGAGTGACTGAATAGAAAATGGTCCATCCCTGGACTCACGGTGTTGAGGAGGCTGAAGCAGGAGGACCACTGAGATTGAGAGGCAATCAGAACTACAGAGCAAAATCCTGTCTCTAAACACAGAGGGGCCAGGGAGTCACCTTCACTGGGAGCCCTAGTGACAAGGTCCCCCTTTCATTACTGGTCCCCGCTGTAGGCAGCATGGAACGATCCATGGATGGCCCTCTGCATCAGACCCTGTTGCACCACCTAAGCTGAGCCCCGTCTTCCCCGATTAAGTTAGGTACCTGGCTATGACTCCCCTTTCCTTCCTCCTTGTTAAAAGTCTCTTGTTCCTCTGGCCAGCACACAGGACTGATGTCATGGTGACCGTGCAGAAGTCACGAAGGGCTTGATGAAGGCTGCCAGGACTCCATGATGCCCGTAGTGGGGAATGTGTAGCTGGCCTCAGAGAATGTGGCTCCTAGATCCCCAGACTTGGGGGCTGGTTTTGTGCATGGCTAGTTCATTGCACGGAATGGGGGAGAACAAAGCTCTCCTTTGGCTTAGCATTAGTGTTGAGCTCAAACTTTAAGTGACTTCCAGGGATGGCCTTGGGGTCGCTCACCTTGGAGCATATAGATGAGGGGGGTGATTGGATGGGACCTCTGTCTGGCCAGTGTGAACGCATCAGCAAAGAGTTAAACTTTCAAGCCGGGTGCAGCGGTGTGTGCATGGCCAAGGCTGGTAGATGTGAGTTCAGGTTAGTCTAGGCTGCAGAGAGCATCCTCGTCTTTTTTACAGTTCATAGGACAGCTGTGTGGAGGGCCAGCAGCAAGCAGGTAGCCTTAATGAGCTAATCCTTGGCCTTCTCTCTCTCTCTCTTTAGAAACTTGAAGGGTCTAAGTGCAAAGGGCAGCTTTTGATTTTTGGGGCAACCAACTGGGACTTGATTGGACGGAAGGAAGTGCCTAAACAGCAAGGTATGAGAAACTGTCTGAAAGATGTGATTGACTGCTTCTTATAAACCAGGTGGCCAGTGGAGTGCTAGTAGCTGTCCACCAGGTAGGTATTCTGTGTTTGTGGGCATGTTCGGAGAGGCCAAGCAAATTGCTTGAGGCCACAAAGGTACTCTGGTGAGGGTGTGCATTTGAGTTGAACCTGGTCGCATGCGTGCCTCCACAGTCCTGTATTTAAAACGCTCAGATTACTCGGGAGTGCAGTTCTCAAGCAGACGTGAGTCCTCAAGATTGCCTTTCACTACAAGGAAGAGGCCGGCTCTGTTCTGAGGTGCTGCAAGGCCCTAGACATTTGTCAGGTGTAATGGACGGATATGTATAGGCTACGTGGTGGCTTCTTAGAACAACTCAGTGGAACTGGTAAGCTACGGAGAGTGGACATAGTCCTGCCAGCTCCCTGTGTCCCGCTGTCTGTAGAAGATGGGTCCTTTCCTGAGAGGCCTCTTGGAGAAGAGGGCTGGCTCGGCGCCACACTTTGGCTCTTAATTTCATTTGGAAACACACCCAAAGTGCTTCCCAGCATTGCTTTGCCCATGAACAAATACTTGAACACTGTCACACCCTAGTACCCAAACCTAGGGGCCTTGGCCATCATCCTGCCCAGGAAGATGTCAGGGGGTCCTGCGTGGTACAGATGCAGCTAACAAACTACTGCTCCTTCTTGTGGAAGATGCCCATCCTTCAGTACAGCCCTGGGCCCCTACCAGTCCATGAGTAAACAGTGGCCACTGCAGCTAGGGTACACAGGGTTCCTGCTCTCCGCTGTGTCCATTGCCCTGCAGACATGGCAGGGCTGCCTTGACCTGACTGTCACCTCTGCCTCCCATGTCCTCCGTGGCCCAGAAGTTGAGCCTCAGATCAGAGCAGGTCGGGCTAGGTTTTGAGTCTTGCCACCCTACCCATCCCAGGGAGACTCCTGGCCCTGTCTCCAAAGGAGGTTTGTGTAGTTTCACTTATGTCTAGGCTGTCTGTAACTTTGCCTAGAGTTGTTAGGCAAACTTTCCCTCCCACCAACCTGCAGGTAAAGGGGCTACCCACCCTGTCTCTTGGATCTTTGCAGCTCTTTACCCTTAGTGTGCCTGTTTATGTGGCGGCATGGTGGTCTTTGCTGTAGCTTGTAGTGAGGACCAGTTCCTGGGGGTCTGAAAACTTTGGGATTAATGTCTACCAGCCTGGCTCTGAGCTGGGGCCACTGCCAGGAAGGTTGTGACTTTAACTTGAACTGAATGGAGGAGGTGGTCCCTGGGACAGGAAGGTACCCCAATGTTCTTGTGGCTGATGGTAGTGTTCTCTTTGGGGAAAGGTGTTAACAGGGTACCAGGGAGCCAGGTCTGCCTGGGCCAGCTAGTTCAAGAACCAGGCCATTCTCTGCGGCACCCTGATCTCTGATGCCCAGTACTGTTGCAGCTCATAGGTGACCAGTGGAAAACCTTTCTGATCCATTACTTGTCTGTGTCTGAGCCACCTGAACTGTAGTGGCTTGTTTCTCAAGGTAGCCATTGTCCTGGAGGTAAAAGAAAGCCATTCCCCTGCCTCAGGGAAGTGGGAGTGGTAGCTCCCAGGGGTCAGGCGTGAGGCCTGGCAAGGACAGGACCATGGCCTGGTCCCTGATGCCTGCCATGGTATAGTAGATGGGATGTTTGGGGTGTGGTACAGGTTAAATAAGGGGTACAATGCAAAGTTAGATATGGATTTCCCAGAGAATTTGAAGGGCTAGTGGGGGCCATGAGAGGACATGCTTGGAAGTGGCTTGGTGGGCAAGACAGGTGACAGGCTGAGGTTCCTAGTTGTGGGTGAAGCTGAGTGGGTGGCCACAGACCTTTCTCTAAGTAAGCAAGTGGGTCTCAGGACGATGGGGACACTGAAGACTGCTCAGTAAGACCTGGTTTTTGGCTGTTGGGAGGCCTGGGGTGCAGAGGACAGAACCAAAGGTGAGCCTGTGTTGTTCCAGATGATGCAGGAAGGCCAGACCTGCCCTGTAGTGGGTTGGGGGCCAGGAAGCTGTGTAGGTCTGAGTAGAGGTTTGATGACATCACTGTGGAGATGGCCAGTGACACCAGGCAGGTTTGGTTTTGGGTGACCTCTGGGAGATACATTTGGGTGTACTGTCGAGCTGTGCTCTGCAGAGGTTTGATTTGTATTCTTCCCTTTGCAGCTGCTTACCGAAACCTTGGTCAGAATTTGTGGGGGCCCCATAGGTATGGGTGCCTGTCGGGGGTCCGGGTCCGGACTGTGGTTTCAGGTTCATGTGCTGCCCACAGCCTCCTCATCACCACAGAAGGGAAGCTGTGGAGCTGGGGTAAGTAGTAGACGTGGTTGTTAACATGTATGCTCTGAAGTGTGACTTAAAGCCGTGCGTTCGTGCGTGTGTTGGGGGACAGGACAATTTGGGTGTCTGTCCTTGCCTTCCACGGTTATGTAGGGTCTGAAGTTGTGAGCCCAGGTCTCCAGGCTTGTGCAGCAAGACCCTTTACTGCTAAGCCATCTGACTAGTTCCTGTTGTTTGAATTTTCCTTGGAGACTGTTGTTCTGAACTTGAGACAAATGTGATCTCGATGCTGCCATCCTTCCAATCAGCCATCTGTTCCTGACCTGTCCCTTCACCTAGCCCGTGTCCTGCTTCGTGGTACCATGTGGCATGAGGCCTGGGTTCTCACCACTCTGAATGCCACTTCTAACACATCTGAGGTCTCATGGCTGAGACCTTGTGGCTCCTGACCTCAGGTCTGATTTAGGGCCTTTGCCCACACCTTCCTTTCCTCCTGTGTCTCAGCCCCCCTCCTGCCAGGCTGCCTTGTGATTTCCCTAGCGCGCACGTTTTTTTCCAGGTAGTGCAGGAAGTATTGCCCAAGGCTCACGGCATCCAAGCCTTGGGACTTGAGCAACTGGGGAAGTTGGCTTTTCATTCATTTCTAGCCTTTGGCTGGCTTCTAGTTTATATGATGTTTTTTATTTTAGTCTTTTTAAGTCTCTCTCCCCTTTTTCTTTTGCTGATTTCATGAGCTGCTGTACCAGAGTCCAAATATATTAACATCTGCCATCTTCTCTGCACTTCGCTAATTTTATAATTCTGTTGAAAAAAAAAAAAATCTCAAGTGTGTGTGGCCCAAATTAATATCCTCCCAGGCTCTGGGTGACACACCAACATCTGTCCCAATTTTTGTTTTCTCCAGGTTGGTATAGGGCCCCTCCCCCATTCCCTGATGCTTTGTCCTCAACACTGACCAAGGCCTTTTAGGTCAGTGTCCCCAACTTCAGTATCTGCTCTCTGATGTCCTTGCCGAGTTTCACTGGCACTCAGGTGCTCCATTGCATCTCAGGACAGACTCTGTGACAAGAGAGGGGGCCTCCCTGGAGCAGCAGCAGGGTTGTGGGAACTTACCAGGAGGCATCCTGAGCAGCTCTGAGCTGCATCCAGTCTGCCTTTCACTGAATTTGGACATGGCAGGCTCCTCTTGAAGTTGGCACCTGCCCAGTGCTAGCCCTCAAGCCAGCCCTTTAATTGATGCCCATCTCCTGGGAGGGAGGCTAGTCACCTGCTCTGCCTGCCTCTTGCAGGCTACTATGGCTCAGCTTACCCATCTCATGACTGAACTAACCAGAAGGGACACTTTCCACTGGGTAAGGTTAGTGTGAACCCCATCCTGCCTGTGGCTCTCACTTTCCAGCTTCTACAGTCCACCTAAACTTACTAGTGTGTATCTGTGAGAGGTGATTTTGGGGTTCTCCGGGGGTATGTTTTGGGTCTGTGTTACCTGGTAGGATTTCAGGGCCTCTGGCTGTCCTGAAACCCCCTACCCATTGTCCATCCCAAGCTGAAGCAGGGCTCCCTAGAAGAGCTGTGCATTGCTAGGGCTTCCATAGGGACTGGTCCCTGCTTGCCTTCATACAACACAGCAGCTGTCTAGAAGGAGGTGGCCCTATAGGCAGGGGGCGTGTTCAGAGCAGGTCTGTCTTTCCCTTGTCGTGAGGGTACATGGAGCTGGGGTCTGTTTTATATTTACTTATTTAGAGTACATTAGGGTTTTGCCTGCATGTGTGCATGTGTCTATGAGGGTCAGATCCGGAACTGGAGTAGGAGAAAGTTGTGAACTGCCATGTGAATGGCTGGGAATTGAACCCTGGTCTTTTGGAAGAGCAGCCAGGGCTCTTAATCACTGAGCCATTTCTCCAGCTGGGCTTTTATAACAGGGTGAGGGTGCAGATAAGAAGTGAAGGCCATAGTTAGATGTATCAGACCCCTCTAGCTGCATGAGGAGTGGGAACTCTTCCCTGGAGCTTAATGCCTGTGGGGCATTCAGGGAACACCAAACATTTCCTGGGGTAACAGACTGGTGTTGCATTTGGAATGGTCCTGTAGCAGGCCACTTCCTGCTGGGATATATTCAGGGTTGCCCTTTTCACTGGGGGCAATTCCAGTAGGGAGAGTAGCCGGGCTCGTCCTTATCGTGAGGGATTTGTTGAAGGTTTGCTTTGGGAGATGAGAGTAGGAGCTGCCCCAGTACCCTTGCATTGCTTACCTAGCCAGCCATGATCCCCCCACAGGTCGGAATGAGAAGGGACAGCTTGGCCATGGTGATACCAAGCGGGTTGAAGCCCCCAGACTCATTGAGGCGCTCAGCCATGAGGCAATCGTGCTGGCAGCATGTGGGCGCAACCACACCCTGGCGTTAACAGGTAAGAGGGGGGATTCTCTTCCTTCTAGTGGAGGCAAAAGGCCACAAAGATGGTTACGACTCTGGGTCAGTGTCAAAAGGAAGGTGATGTCCTGGTTTAATGGGTGTCTCCCTAAAGGCAGTGAGAGCCCTATGGTGGCCCCTGGGAGCCCAGACCAAGTTCTGTGTGTGGCAGGGTTCAGCTCTGTTCTGCACCCTTGCTGTCCATGGGACAGACGGGCATTCTCTCTCTCTCTCTCTCTCTCTCTCTCTCTCTCTCTCTCTCTCTCTCTCTCTGTCACTCACTCTCAGGCTCTACTTGGTGGATGAGCTGTTTGCATAACATTCACCCTTACATCCCCTTCTGCCATGTTCTCTGTCCTTTCAGATACTGGCTCCGTGTTTGCCTTTGGAGAGAATAAGATGGGACAGCTGGGCCTTGGGAACCAGACAGATGCTGTCCCAAGCCCTGCTCAGGTACAAGCAAGGTTGTGTGTGGGTTTGGGGCAGCTTTGGTTTGAGAACAGTGATGCTTTGCAAGGGGAAGTGTGGTGGAGAGAAGCTATGTTGGGTCAACCCCACCATGGGATGCAAGGGTCCCCTCAGCATACAGACACTGTCTTTTTTTCTTGTTGTTTGCAACCCCACCCCCTGACAAGGATACTCTGTAGCACCCAGCTGTCCTGGAACTCACTCTGTAGTCTAGGCAGGCCTCAAACTCACAGATACCTGCCCCTGCCTCTGCTTCTGCCTCCAAGTGCTAGATCAAAGGTGTGCACCACCGCTACCTTGCAGATGATCAAAGGTGTGCACCACCACTACCTTGCAGATACTAAATTTTGACCTTGCACTTGGTTTCTGCCCTGTGCAGCGGGACCAGCCTGTCACTTGCTGTCCCAGTCCTTGGTTGAGCCATTTTGTGTCTGGCTCACATCTTCATTGACACCTGACTGCAACAGGACAGCTCCTTCAGGCTGGGTGACATCACAGAAGCCCTGCTTTTGTTATTTCCCTAGCTGGGGCCGCTAGCAGTATTAACATTAGAAGTGAGCTTTTGGGGTCATATAAGGCCTTGCTGTCCCTAGTCCTGGTCCCTGTGCTTGAGCCTGATGATTGGGGGTGGTGGTGGTGCTGGAAGACTCCAGAGTATAGAGCCCCAGAACAAGAGCTAATGTTCTTGGCCTCTGCTGTCCTGGGAGGGTGGGGGTCTCCAGCAGTTAAGTAAGGGCCCTGTAGTTGGCTTTGTGATCATGTGTGCTCAAGTGGCTGCCTTTGGAAACCGTGGAATCCCCCTCCCCGTGAGCACACTGTTGTTTCATACCAGGGTGGAATGAGGAAAAGACTGAAGGAGCTGGAAAGTTGCCTGTCTTTCTTTTCAGATCATGTACAACGGGCAGCCAATTACCAAGATGGCCTGCGGAGCTGAATTCAGCATGCTGATGGACTGCAAAGGCAACCTCTATTCCTTTGGGTGCCCTGAATATGGCCAGCTGGGTATGGAGTCTCTTAAAAGCTCTGTAATCTAACTGTAAATGTAGAGCCAGAAGGCAGTGTGGGGCTGTGCACACGTGTTACAAGTGTGGGTAATTGATCTAGATAGTAGCTGCTACCGGCTAAATGCGTCTCATGCTCCGTGGAACAGCTTGCTGTTAACTCACAGGTTACAAGGGTCACAATGCTTTACCTCAGTGAAAACATCAGGACTGAGTCTGGCAAAGAAGCTTTTCTTTTGGTTTGGAAATCCATTTGTGTGAGAATCTCAGACAGAAAGGACAAAGGCCAGATTCATGGATTTTGGAAGTGAGAGAATTACGTAAGAGGTTCTAGAAATCTGGTTGGATGAGCATCTGGCCTGTTCCACAGCTCATCCCTCACCGCTGTGACGTCACACAGGCACACAGGCACAGAGCGTAAGAAAGAGGAGGTCAGAAAGCTGTCCTCAGAGCCAGTGAAGCTTGTTGCCTGAATTTTGCAAGGTCTCCATTTTCCTTTCCGAGGTGGCTCTTGGTGCCTCCTCCAGTCTTGAGCTGGAGGCAAGGTGTGGGCGCCCCCTGCTGGCGACTGAGCAACCTGCAACAGTCCAAGATCTGGGTTGCTGGGTCCCAGCGTCATTACAAGTGCGCAGATGGGAGAATATAAATAGAAGCAGAGCATTGCTCTGGCCTTAGACTTCAGGGAACAGTGACTCTGTGAAACTAAATATACCTTGAGTCAGAAGTGAATAAGAAGGACCAACCCCTTACGCACATCCGTGCTGGTTGCCAGGGAATTCTTGGGGCTGTTAGAGAAACTGTTTCCATGGCCACTGGCAGGCCTCCTGCCATTCCCAGGCCCAGCACAGGAAGTCTGTTTCTGTGCTTCCTGCTACATGTGCAGCTTCCCTGCCACCTTTAGACAGCCTCTTGGTGGAGCCAGCCTTCTTTTATGGAACCCACCTCTCATTCTGAGGCACATTCCTACTCAGATCCAGGTGTGGTGGCTGGCAGGCACCTGTGATCCTAGCAACTGAGAAGCAGGCAGGAGGATTGCAGCAAGTTTGAGGTTGGCATACTTCACATGGGTTATAGGCTAGCCAGGCTGAACAGTAAAATCTGTTTTCAAAAGTAAAACACAGCCTAACTCCCAGTTCTGTTCTTGTCTTGGTACAGACATTGCTTTTAGAATTCAAACATGATTTTAGGAGGGTCTCCTGGGCTGCACTCCCTGCAATGATCGGCTGGCCGGGAGAGGGCACTGAATACCTCCCAGGGGAGAAGGTAGCCACCACCCCCTTCCTGGAGGGAGTGTTGCCTGCACTCTGACCACAGCCAGGTGCTGAGTGCTATTGATGTTTAATAAGGATCAGGAGAAACAGACAGGCCGAATAGATGTTTATTGAGGGAGGCCTAATAGATGTTTATTCAGGAAGAATGCATACTACATAGACGAACACCAGCAGGTTCCTGGTCCCAAGGATGCCTCTGGATGTACTCCTATCCCTGTGCTGCAAGCAAGAACGCTCTCTAAGCCCCCTCCTCAGCTTTAGTTCCCCCCAGGTAACATCCGGCCCTGTCTCCACTCCCAATGGGCATGGTCTATGCCACAGGTGGGGACAAGGTGCATATCTCACTACAGATTGCAACACCTTTAAAGGAAGTTGGAAAGATGGTGAGGTCCCTGGTGGCCTCAGGCTTTTCAGCCTGTCACCTCCCAGTGGTGTGTGATCTGTGCTGCTTACAGAAGGCAAGCATCTCTAAGCCAAGCCCAGCATCCTGCCATGCTTGGTTAGCCTGGGGTCCAAGAGTGTTTTTGTAACATAGCACCCACACATCACTCCCTGTAAGGTCTGATGAGCAGAGCAGCACCGCACTGGGGACCAGGCAGTATCCTGCCATGATACTTCACCCACAGGCTACTCCCTGCCAGGTGGATACAGCCACACTTTGTTACTTGTTATAGCACTGCTTCCTCTGGGCTGTAAGCAGTCAGGGTAGGATGGATCTTGGCTGGGGGTCCAGACTGGCCCTTGCGACTTGTGTTTGTTTGTTTGGTGGTTTCATTTATTTACATTGGTTTTTTGAGACAGCCTTGCTATGTATCTCTGACTAGGCTAGAATATACCAGACTGGCTTCAGTCTCAGATCTGCTTATCTCTGAGTGCTGGGATTAAAGGTGTGGGCCACCTGTTTGTTTTGTTTGTTTTCGAGACACAGTGTAGCCCAGGCTGGCTTGAAATCCCCTGTGTAGCTGAGGATAGCTTTTTACCTCGTGATCTTCCTGCATCTGCCTTCTAAGTGCTGGTACAAACCACCAATGCAAGAAGCCAGAAAGTGCTTGGTCCTAGGGCCACAGCCACGCCAGTCCAGTGCTGGGCTGGAGCTTGCCTGGTGTGCACCAGGCAGTCCCCTCACCAATGAAGCCAGTACTGACCCAGTCCCTCGTGACTTCTTGCAGGTGGTTAGTGAATCCCAGGGTTTTGTGTCCTTTACAGCATGTTTAAATGTAGACAGAAACTGAGATTTTGGTGCTTTAGTGATGATGTCTACCTTTTCCTTTCTGGAGGTCCTCAGAGCTCCCCAACTGGGTGCTTGGTAGATTGTCTTTAGGATGAGAGCCTTTGTGAAGTCACTTTTGTGACCTCAGCCACGGGAGGAGACACACTTCCTTTGCCTCCCAGAGTATGTGTAGGGTCTTTCCCAAGTTATGGTCCTATTGTGTAAGATGCCCTTGTTTATGTGCATTTTAGAAGAATGACCTGTGTTACCCACCAGCTCATGACCAAATGGGTTGGCTGGATCTCTGGGTGGGGGCAGGGGGTTCCCCTGGGCCTGTGGCGTACAAACAGAGCACCTTGCCTCCATGCCTTCTGCTGTTGTTGATTTCTGGTTCTGCTCACCACAGGACACAACTCAGATGGGAAGTTCATTGCCCGGGCACAGCGGATAGAATATGACTGTGAGCTGGTACCCCGGAGGGTGGCCATCTTCATCGAGAAGACCAAGGATGGGCAGATCTTGCCTGTCCCGAATGTGGTGGTTCGAGATGTAGCCTGTGGCGCTAACCACACAGTAAGCCTTTTTTCTTTCTCATTGTCAAGAACCATGCTGGTGTAGACTGGTTCTGGGGTAGGTATCTGTCTTGCGCAGGCTATGTCATTGTGCTGGGTGAGTTTCCCGTCGTGATCTGACCACTACAGATATGTCCAAACATGAACGTCCAGGTGTATGTCTGCAACCCCCCACCCCATGTACACACTTCATGGTGTCAGTATGATAGGTAGGTTACCTTTTGCTAAGGTGCGAATGGTTAACTATTGAGGGTGCCTCCTTAAAGGTCATCTTAGCAGAATAACCACGGGAGGATAGATGATCTGTATCTTGAGGTCTTTGTATCTGTGAGTCCACAGGCACTATTGGAGTCTGTGGAAGTCAAAGTGTGATGAGTTTGATCTGGTCATCAGGCTTGCATAGCAAGTGCCTTCGCCTGCTGGGCCATCTTGCTGGCCCTCTTTTTAAGATAGTGTTTGACTTAGTAGCTCTGACTGGCTTAGAACTCGCTCTGTGGCCAGACTGGTCTCAAACTCAGAGATGTGCCTGCCTCTGCCTCCTGAGTGCTGGGATGAAAGGTGTGCGCCTGTCACTGGCCCTTATTGCTGAGAATAGGGGCGTCTGGTCTGGGTCTTGTTTTGGCAGCAGACAGGAAGCCCAGGGTTGAATCCCAGGGCCACACACTGCCTGCTTGGTGGTGCCTGCAAGTCCTTAAACCGGGATGCTGTTTTTAATCTTGGTTGGGGCAACCCATGTTACATGTTTTGCGTTGCTGGGTATGGAGCCTAAGGCTTTGTATGTGGTGGGCAAGTGCTCTGGGCATGAACTATACATCCTGTTCCATGCGGAGCTTGCACATCATGAGGTGTAGATGTGAAACCTCGAAGACACCAAAGAGGCAATTTGTAAAGAGCTGGCACACCAGTGCCTGCCTCGTCTGTGTGCACCTGTGACAGCCAAGTGCTGAGCCGGTAGGTCGCAGCCCTTCCCTCCTGTTTCTGTAGTTTAGACAGTGTTGTAATAGGAACTTGGAAGTGTTAGATTCTGCTGAGGAAAGGGGAGGTTGAGAGAATAAGGGAAATCGTGCCCATAAAGGAAGTGCACTGCACTCGGCCCTGCTGGTTGTCTGTGTGGCCAGCTCCCTTCCTGCCTCAAAAGTGGGAAGTTTCCCTGCTGCCTTTGCCTTCTGCTGTTGTCCCAGCTCCTCTGGACAGAAGCCTTGTGTGACCCATGTGTCTTAGCCTGTGCCTCCTCTCCCTGCAGCTGGTCCTGGACTCACAGAAGAGAGTCTTCTCCTGGGGCTTTGGTGGCTATGGCCGGCTGGGCCATGCTGAACAGAAGGATGAGATGGTGCCTCGCCTGGTGAAGCTGTTCGACTTCCCAGGGCGTGGCGCAACCCAGATCTACGCCGGCTACACCTGCTCCTTTGCTGTCAGTGAAGTGGGTCAGTGTCCATTTCCCCCACCCAGCTTCCCAGGTCCCCATGGCTGGAGCCAGGGCCAGGGTTTCCCCTCTGGGGATGCCTATTCTCAAAGGTCCCACAGCCACGCCATGACTGTCCCTGGCTGACTCTGCAATATCTTTTCAAGCAGATGTCCTTCACTTTGGTGTCCTGAGATGCTTGCTTGTGGCACTAATGTGTTTTGCTTCCTTCTAGGTGGCCTGTTTTTCTGGGGGGCCACCAATACATCTCGTGAGTCTACCATGTACCCGAAAGCAGTACAAGACCTCTGTGGCTGGCGGATCCGGAGTCTCGCCTGTGGGTAAGTGGCTGTGCCCAGGCAGGGCTAATGGTGTTGGTTCCTTCCTGTGAGAGTTGGGTGCCCTGTATGCCTGTGTTCTTGGGAAGGCTGCTGTGCCAGCTAACTCGGGGTCTTCCAGGCTGGACAGAGACACCAAACCCCCAAAAACGTGGGAGAGGGGAGTGTGTTGACCTGGTTGGCTAGGCTAGGTGACTCCTTCCTTCATGGAAAGTAAAGTTGAAAGTTTTTGTTACTGCAGCTTGGAAACTAGGGTTTTACTTTCTCAGCACAGCAGGAGTGTGAAGTGTGACTTTTAATTTGGTGTCCTCATTGAAGGGCACTTGCTGAATTACCCAGTACTTATAGGTGACAAATGTGGGTGTGTGTGGGTTAGCTTGGCTCTGAGCTGTTATTACCTGGTCCCCTGTGTGTGTCCTCCACCCCTGCCCCAGGTTCCTTGAGGATGGATTGTCACTTTGTCCCTTAAATGACCCCCCTCCCACCTTGGTATTTTTCCCAAAGGACTCTCCCTCTGAGAGCACCAGGACAGAGATGGTGGGCAGTGAGGCCCTGCTATTGACCTGGAAATGAATGTGGGCCATCCCTGGAAACACATTTCCCTCACCCCTTCCTTACTGACTTTGCAGTAAGGAGGTGGGTTTGTTAAGGGGTGTCCTTGACATGGATCAAGTGGCACACGTGGCTTTGGGTAGGTGGTGACAACTTCTGTCTATTTGCAGGAAGAGCAGTATCATTGTGGCAGCCGATGAGAGTACCATCAGTTGGGGTCCATCGCCAACCTTCGGGGAACTGGTGAGCCCTTCCTAGGGTCTTGGCAGAGTTGCACTAGCCAAGACAGGCCTGAAAATGGGCATGAGGAAGATTGGTGCTGTTTCCCTGTCCTCCAGAACTGTCCTGGTTGGGTGGTAGCGAGACTGCTTGCAGTCTGTGCTATAGAACGAGTCATCCGGGGCTTCAGGCCTGTGGGATATTTTCCTACTGTTGGGACCCATTGTCCACGTTCACAGGAAGCAGTGTCTTCCTGAGCTGCGTGTGTCATCCTGTGGCCTCCAGACATTCTGCTTAGTAGGCAGCGGGGGTTGTTGGTGTGCTCTGGATCAATGTCATTAGGCCAGCCACATGGATGCTTTTATTCTTTGTTTCTCAAACTAGTGTTATGGTTGGTTTTCACCCCCAGTGATTGGAGTGAGGTCAGGAGCGGCTGCCCTTGGCTGTAACCTTGCTCTGTCCCATCCTAAGAACAGGAATCTTAAGTCCTAGCTCAGTGAGTCTTTGTGAGGAGGCCAAGGCCGGTTGGGGTTTGTGTAACTCCTGTGGCTGGCCTTTGATTCTTTATCTTTGTGGTTTCTTACTTCATCATCCTTTTGGGAGTAGAAGTTTCCTCATTGGTGGAATCAGAGGGACAGAGCTGTCCTTGTCCCTCAAGCTGTAATCATTGGCCTCCATGAGACACTAGCCGCTCCTCAGGGCTCCCAGACCCACAGGACCCCCTTCTGTGTGGCAGAGAAGGATGGATGATGTGTTTGTTTTCTGTATGTAGCCCGGGCTCCTCCAGAACTCTGTAGATCAAGCTGATTTGGAACTTAGAGAGATCCACCTGCCTCTGTGTCCCGAGTGCTAGGATTAAAGGTGCTTACTTCTATACCTTACCTGGCTGTTGGATAGCTTTTGGGGCCCATCAGAAATAGTCTTTGGCATTTGGCAGCCTGAACTGCATAGTGTAGTGTCTGTGGCCTAATGACTTACAGGACAGCCTAAGCTTACATTATCAAGACCCTCTGTCAATAAATACTTGATCTTCTGGGGCTAGAGAGATGGATGGCAACAGTCCTGGCTGTCCTGGAAGTCATTGAGATCTGCCTGCCTCTGCCTCTCAAGTGCTGGGATTAAAAGCGTGTGCTACCACCACCCGGCTGGAAACACAAAATTAAAAAATGTTTTGTTTTGTTCTTTTCTTCTAAACACAACTTGGAATCTTAGTAATGGTGGGCTTGGAAAGCCTGAGGGGCGGGGAGGTGATACATCTTCAGGGGGTATGATTGGGTTTGGAAAGATGCACAGTCTGCCTAGAAGGAGCTTGACCAGGGTGTGGGACAAGAAGCCTCAGGACCAACTGCCCTTGGCCCAGTGTTCCCTAGCAGCCTTTGGCTGCTTCCTTTTAACCTCTGGTTATCTGCCGTTGCCACTGACAATCAGCTCCTTTCTCCCTGTGAAGTATCAGGGCTGGCAGGTGTGTCAGCGGTTGATGTTGGTTGTGTATGTAGGTTGTGTCAGCCACTGTCATCTCAGGGCTCTGCACAGTTTGTTCCATAACCACAGTGACTGGGTCCTGGTCTCCTACATCAGTGAGAGATACCTGGAAACAGTCTGTTTTTGTCTCTCCAGGGGTATGGGGACCACAAGCCCAAATCTTCCACTGCAGCTCAAGAGGTGAAAACCCTGGATGGCATTTTCTCAGAACAGGTGAGTGCGGGCTTGCGGTGGATGTCATAACTGTTCACAGCCTGCTGAGCTGTGTGACATCTCTTGACTGGCTTTCCTGTCCTTGTGTTGAGTATTTAGAGGGTGCAGCTCTCAGCAGGAAAAGGGCAAGTTTCTGGTTCTATGGTCATCACCCCCCAGTTCCCTCAGACTGGGGTCCTTGCCATAGCCAGGGTCAGGGACTAGTTCCCTGAGCAGATTATATATGTTGACTTATGATTTGGGGGGAGGGGCAAGTGCAGTGTGGAGCTGAACCCCGGTCCCTGCCCACATGTCTCCACGGGCTTCTGCCCGGGCCTGCAGTCCTGGGAAGGATGGGGCTTGGATGGTCCCGGTCCTGAGACGCCAGGTGTTTAGGGAGGAGGGAAGGGTTTCTTTTCTTTCCCAGGGCCCAGCCCAGGTTCTAGCCCCATTGAGCCTGTCGAGCTTTTGGCACCCGACACCTGTGGGTATCGCTGCCTTGTTTTTCTTGCAGGTGGCCATGGGCTATTCGCACTCCTTGGTGATAGCACGGGATGAGAGTGAGGCTGAGAAAGAGAAGCTCAAAAGGCTGCCTGAGTACACCCCACGTACCCTCTGAGGCGGGTGGCACTCCCTCGTGGCAGCTGTCATTTTCACGTGCACTGGGACCAGAAGTCAGACAAGGAATTTAGGAAACAAAAGTTGACCCAAGGTGCATTGGGTTAGCATCCCTGCAGTTCCGTTTCCAAGCAATTCAACGTTAACTACCTTTTTCTGTATGCTTTCCAAAGTGTTTTTTCCCTCAATGTTTGATTAAACATTTGCTCATAGCCAGCTTGCCTTTCTACGAGACAGGCAGGAACTCTGAGCATTTAGGTTTTTTTTTTTTTTAAGTTGTACTCTTTTTCACCCCCTCCTGAGTATCCTTGTCCAGCCCTCCCATCCCAGCCATAATTAGCATTGTGATCCGAGTGGGTGCCACGTGGGAGAGAAATCGCCACTTTCCCAGTCAGAAACGGCCCTTCCAGGAACCAGCAGCCTGTAGGCCACAAAATCCCCAGTGGTCGGTCTCCACCCAGAATCCCGCCTGCCCGCTTTCGGAGACCTGGTCACTCGCTTGCAGGCCCTCCCCGCCTGCCCCTCGCCTTCTCCCAGTAGCTGTTGCTGACTTCTGTCTGCAAGGCCCACTGCCTTTTGGCTGAAGCATTTGTAGGACCAGCCATTCCCCCACCCACCTCCACCCTACCTGCCCCCGCCCCCGCCATGGGGCCTCTGGAGTCTGTGTTTAGCCATTTATGTCTACTTTAGCTCTCGAGTCCAAATGAGAATTGGGGACCATGGGATATGGGGGTGGGCAAGGTGGGGAACCTTTGTGTTGTTGAAGGGCCTGGTTTTCTGGCTCCCTGTGGAGCCCAGGCTATGCTTACCAGTTAGAGACCAGCCAGCAGTCAAGTGTGTTCTCAGTCCTCTGTGACCCACTGTTGTCGCCTGCGTGCTTTTCCTGTCCGCTCCTGCTGTCCCCCTCTGCCTGGGATGGCTACCCTGTTCTGAGACTTAGCCATTCTTCTGCTGGCTCCAATGCTCTTTGGCCGCTTGCATTTGCTTGGCTCTGGTACCAAATAGTTGGGATTCCTGATGAAATCCCCTGCCCCGCGTGTCAGTGCAGATGCTGTGACTGCCACCCACATCCCCACAAGTGCCCTCTGCCCGAGCCCGTCCTGGTATTATTGACTTTGCAGCTGAGTTCCGAGGTGCCTTTCCCGGATCCCTCCTCACTGGACCCGAGTGTGGTGGCAGCTCGGGCTGGGACCCTTGGTTTCCAGAGGGTCTGGGCTGCTTTAACTAGGTTTAGTTCAGTGGTGCTCTGGAGGTGACCGGGAGAAGGGTTGAAGTGTGAGGCTGGGTGGGTGGGGAAATTAATTCTGGTCTTCACATTGACGGTTTCGTTCTTGCTGTTGTAGCGCTTGTTGATGTCTCTATGTTAAAATGCCAAAAATGATCTAGTTGTCGCTTTCCTCCTGCTCCAGCGCTCCACAGCAGCTTCTGGCTTTGCGAGGTGTGTTTGTCTCAGCCAGTGCCATGGCCTGGCGGGAACGGATCCGAGTTCCCACTATTTCCCATCATGTGCCCGACTATATAGTCAGTCAGGGACAAGCTTCTGCAAAACTAACCTGCTTTGTCCAGATCACCCCAGACACCACCCCTTGCTTCTCCCCTTGCCGCCTGAGCCTTCCCCGGTCTCTCTGGCTAGTGCCGCTCAGTGTCTGCTCCTGTCCTGGAGGTCTCCTGGAGTTGTGTGGTCACCAAGAGGGTCGAGGATGCAGTAGTCCTGAGCTGAACTGGGCTCATCTTCCAGGGAGCAAACTAAAGCCAGGGGTTAGCACCCCTGGATAGAGCATTGGGGAGGGGGAGTGCACGGAAAGTGTCTTCTGGGGAGAGATCCTTGAGCTGGACCACAACCCCTTCCTTTAGACTAAAATGTCCACCTGAGCTTTCTCACTGGGAAACGCCTTTAGAACGGGGACAGTGGGAAGCCCTGGGTGGGAACTACCCTGGCTGCCTGTGGGCTCCTGAAGTCTTCTGGTCATGACAAGAGGGTAGCATGAAGGGAATAGCGAGGATGTGATTCGGTTGAAGGTGCCTGGTTTAGTGCTGTTAATTGTCTTATTTTTTTTTATATATATATTTCTTGGAGTAAACATTTTAAATAAATGGCATCATTGTTTACTCTGCCTTGGCTCTCTTGCTTCCTCTTCAGTAGCATGGACTGCATCCTCAGCCCTGTGCAAGTGCCCCATAAGTATCCGAAGAGGGCTGGAGAGATGGTTAAAGCACTGGCTGCTGTTCCAGAGGTCCTGAATTTCCATTCCCAGTAACCATGTGGTGGCTCACAACCGTCTGTAATGAGATCTGGGTACCTCTTGTGGCCTTCAGGGATACGTGCAGGCAGAACACTGTGTACATAGTAAATCTTTAAAGATAGGTGTCCCCTAGGGAGCTTCTGGGCCATCCTGGGCTCCAGAGATGTAGCGAGCTCTGACTACCCTACCTCTAAGGGGTGATGGCCAGAGGGCCACAGAGGTGCTCCAGAACACATGTGGTCCCATCTCAAGGACCCTTTTTGTGGTTGGGACATCTCATATAGCTCAGGCTGGCATCCTACTTTTTGGGTGCTCAGCATCTGTAAAGTGTCAGCCCTCACTGTAAATCTTACCCAGCCCTTGGTTAAGGGAGTCATGCTGAGCATGAAAGTGACTAGCCGTTGACATTCCTGGGATCGGGTGTGTTAAATGTGGGTTACAGGGTCTTGGGCTTGAAATTTTGCTGTGTACACTAGGTTGGCCTCAAACTCAGATCTAGCTGTCTACTTTGTAGGTGCTGGGAATAAAGGTGTGTGCCACCATGCTAACTTAAATGTTGACCTTAAGAGGTTTTCAGCCTGGGCCTTTTGGGGGTATGTTCCTGGGAATCAAACCTACATGAGTTAAGCGTGCACAGTGAGCTTTATCCTCCCTCGCCCTACAAGGGGGTCTGTCAAAGTCAGTAATCACACATGTAACACCCAGACTTCATAAGAGATCGGAGGCTACCTGGCCCCTTCAGTTTGGCTAGTTATCCACCAGGGGGTGCAGAGGAGTCAGCTTTTTGTTTCATGCTAAAGGACCTTGCTTGGACTGAGGTCCCCAAGGGCTGCCACACATCCTGGCTGTCATCTGCACCACACACCCAACAGTCTCGAGGTTGGGTCATTGTTCCTGTTTATGGAGGAAGGGAGTTGTAGTCATGTGATGAACTTGGTCACAGGAAAGGGGGGCTGCTGGACTGATCTGTGCCAGGAAGGAGCCACTGCCAAAAGGTCTACCCCCACCCCACAAAAACAGCCTATGGGGAGTTGCTGCAGAGTCGAAGAGACCCCACCCTGACCTTTTTACATGCTGCCCTGGCAAGGCCTGGTTCTGCAGGCCGAGTTAGTTGCTGGTGGAGAAGCTGCCTGGGAGGCCAGCAGCCTGCCTAGCTTGTCATGAGCTCCTGAGGATGAAGGTGAGGGCCCCAGGTGACCAGCCATCATACACTTGCCCATGTTGGGAAGGGACGTGTTGTGGGGTCATAGGAGGCCCTGGTTCCCAGTGGACTACTGATGGGAGATGTCATTCTGTATATGTTTCTCATACTGGTTAATGAATAAAACACTGTTGGCCAATAGGAAGGAAGATAGCGACTAGGAGACGAGGAGGGAGGAGGGTCAAGATGGAGAGTCAGCAGAAGGTGGACAGCAAGTGAGTAAGCTTGAAAATTTTATTACTACGTGTATGGGTGTTTTGCCCTCATAGATGCATCATGGGCCATGTAGTGCCTAGAAGCCAGAAGACAAGAGACCCGGAAACTAGATTTACAGTTGGGAGCTGCCATGTAGGTGCGGAGACTCGGATCTGGGTCCTCTGAACTACACATCCCTCTCTAGCCGCTCCAGGGCCTGCGTGGGCGTAGTGCTATCTAAGAGGTTGTGCTAGGCTTGTCAATCAGTTGGCAGAGTGCTCGTACAGCACGACAGAGCTGTTACATTCCGACTGCTTTTTTTTTAGATGGGGTTTCTCTATAGCAGCTCTGGCTGTCCTGGAACTCATAGACAAGGCCAGCGTCCAACTCAGATCCACCTGCCTGTGCCTTCTGAGTGCTAGGATTAAAGGTGTGTGCTACTACCAACAGACTCCATTCCCACTGTTAACCATAGTTGCACATGCCAGCCCTCTGGAGGTTGAGGCAAGAGGATCGGTATTTCAAAGTGTCTACATTTGTGTGGTAATGTTAACCCGTGGAGATGTGGGAGTCAGTTGTCCCATTCTTCTGTTGAGCCATCTCAAAAGCCCGCAAGGTCATTTCTGGCTATGTAGGAAGTTCAAGGCTGGCTTGGGCGAAAAACAAAAAAGCCCTTCTGGAGGTGACTAGGGGTTATTACAAATGGATTATTAACCCTTAGTTTTCTTATCCACATCACCCTCAAGTAGGGTGGTGCATCCCAAATTGTGGATGTACCATAAGGTGCTACAGGTTCAGGACACAGGTCCTGAGGTGACCTCCCTGACCAGAAGTGTCTTAGCATTGGCCTCATTCTAAGGTCTTGTAGCTAGCCTGAGTCTGTCCTTGCCCATCTGTCCATCTGCCCTGAATAGATCTGTGGGATAGTATAGCCCCCTTAGTAGATTGAGGTCACCAAGTGACTCCCCCAGGGCACACATACTGTAAGATAGAGCTGTAGGTCAGGAAACCCCTACAGGTCAACTTGGGATAAGATCCTGCTCCCTCTGCTTCAGACAAGCAAGCCCACTTTACTCTGCTACGAACAACTCTTGGGAGTATGGGGGTCCTTGCTGGCTCCAGACCCAACTCACGGGATGGGAGCCACTCTGTTCAGGTTTTTTTTTTTTTTTGGGGGGGTGTCCAAAACAGGGTTTCCTGTGTAAACAGCCCTAGCCTTCCTGGAACTAGTTCTGTAGACCAGGCTGTCCTCGTAGACCAGGCTGGCCTCGAACTCAGTCTGCCTCTGCCTCCTGTGTGCTGGAACGAAAGGCATGTGCCACCACTGCCTGTCTGTGTTCAAGTTTGCCAGTGACTTATGGAGTTCAATTCTGAGCATAGGAAGATCCTGAGGGTGCCAGACTTCCAAACCACTCCACTGTTGACAGCACTTGCCTTTGACATGGCCAGTGAGCCGGGACACTTCAGATGAGACAGCAGGCTCTGGGAACCAGCAAAGGCTCACCCAGCCATCTTTATCCCTCATGCTACTGGACAGTTTTGAGACCACAGCCTCCTGCAGGATATCACTCCCCTTAGGCCTGTCCCCTCTAATGCAGGCCAGCTACTAGTTGCTGCCCCTGCTGCTTCCTCCAGCTTGGAATGTAGACAGTGTGGCCTAGCTGAATCAGTCCAAAGCATTTGGGGAAGTCCAGCTGTATTGCCCATTATAAATTCAGAAAACTACTAGGGGCGAAATCCTGCCAAGTTATGAAAGCTCCAAGCTACCCCTAAGATGCATTCAGAACACCTACCCGTTTTATTTGCTCTGTAGTTATGTTTTATTTTTTGCTCTGTATTGTATAGAGACAGTTCCCCACACCATTTTCTCCCTCATCAAGCTGGTAGCTCTGAGGACCCCAACTCTCCAGGCTCCCCATTCCCTCCAACCCAATGCACCAGGAATCACACATGCCACTGGGGGTGGGCAGAGCCAGTGGCTCCAGGGTCCAGGGTCTAAGGAATCATCTTCCACCACTTGAATGCGAACGGCACCCGGTGGACAATAACACAGGCACAGCTGTCTCCCATGTTGGTCAGGTAGCAGTCAAAGTCATCGATGAAGGTGCACTTGAGACCCAGGGGCTCCAGTAAGTTGCAGACTCTCTCCTCCAGGCAGCAGGTGCCCTTGATTTGGGGCCCAAAGGGCTTGGGGATTCCTAGATTCTTGTCCAACACGATCATCTGCAGCTGTTAAGACAGAACTAGGGTCAGGCAGGATCAGGGCCCTGAAATAAAATCTATCCCTGCCCTCCCTGGGGGCGGGGGGCACGGAATCATATAGGGAAAAACCACATGTCACTTAGGGTTGGCGACACTTAAGCCTGTGTCCATGTAGGCATCCCTAATCAACCTCAATGAAAATCATTTTGCTTAGTTTCAGTGTCTGCCAATGTCTTTCTGAAAGATACGAATTCTGACCAGCAGCTAACCACCTTATCTTTGTCCCTGGATTTGTGGCTCTGGCCTTGTCTGCACCCCCATCCCAGCCAGCTTTAAGATCCGGGTGCTCCGCTAATCCACAGGCACACTTTTCCCCACCATGCTGAGCTTTTGTTTGTTCATAGCAGCTCTGGTTCTATGCACATGGACCTGGGGTCTACATCAGGCTTCCATTTCAGGCCACAGCCATCTGATACGTCTAGTACACCATGGCCAGCAAGGCACCAGTCGTGTGGGCCAAGCAGACCCAAGTTTGAACCAGGCATGCCCAGTGGCCCTCACCATGTCAGGGAAGTATGGCCTCGCGAAGAGTTTTGTGGTCTGTTGGTTGGAGGGGACATTTGTCAGCAACTCCAGGCAGAAGAGCTGTGGGATGGCAATGATGTCCTTCTCCATCAGGCCCAGCTCCTTCTTTAGGAGGGTGCGGTTCAGGCTGATGCATTTCTGCACAGCAGGGAAGGTGGGGAGACAGCAGGGACATGGTCATCAGGAAGCTCTGCTTATATCTACTACACAAATCCAGAAAAGGCCTTGAAGCGGCTTCTATCTGGCTCAAATCCCGTGAGCCAGGAGCCCTGGTGGGCCATGTGAGCCTTTCTTTACCATGTAATATAGCAGTCCTTAAGTTAAAGTGAATTCAGAGAGAAGGCTGGGATGCAGGAGGCCAGGATCCCTCAGCTAGTCTGCTGGATGGCCACTAGTGTCACAAAGCCCCCTGGTCTTTCAGGTGAGGGGGGGACGACACACACAGATGTCTTCTGGTCCTTCCCTCACATCTAAACATCTGCTCCTGCCTACTCAACTCACCCTCCTCACTGACACCAACACCCTTGGTATCCAACTCCAGCTTCAAATAAGATTGAACCACCTGTCCTCGTTCTGGTACCCACTTGCCAGGGCAGGTGACCCTCTCTGGTTCCGCAGAGGCCAGGGCACCAGTACACCATGGCATAGAGGATGTTCATAGTCTAAGAGTAGTAAGGAAGGAG